TTCAAAACCTTCAAACTGTTCTTAGAATATGGCTCTTGCCCTGCCCAGGTACAACACATAGGGGTGAGTTTACTTTAGATTATTTATTACAACTGGCTATTGTTAATTGTTTATATTCCTTTGTGGAAAAACGTGTTTTCACCACATGCCATCTGCCTGTCACATGCAGCCTGTCCTTGTGATTGGACACATCACTCATGAGACTCTTAACTCTCACGGTACAAATTGTCAGATGCTCCGAATAAAGTTGGCTATTGCATAAGACTAGTCTGCCTCATTTTTAGACTCTTCTTTTTCAGGTTCACACTGCCAACTAGAACAGTAAAACCCTACTACTAATGGATTGATATTAATGCATGTTATAATTCCAGTAATGGATTTTGATGATAGCGGGCATCCTTTAGTTTGATACATATATGTTTAGGATAGTAATGTCTTCTGAATTAAATGTTCCCTTGATTAGAATGAAGTGTCCCTCTCTATCTCTTCTGAGCAGTTTTAGTTTGACGTCTGTTTTGTCATACACTAGGATGGTGACACCTGCTTGCTAACTGGTCCCGTTTGACTCGAGTACATTTGTACATCTTTTTACTCTAAAGTAGTGTGTTTCTTTAAAATTATGCTGCTTCAGCCATGTGGTATTGGCACACACCTTTAATCCAAGCACTCGAGGGACAGAGGCACGAGGATCTCTGAGTCCAAAGCCAACCTGGTCTACAGAGTGAGTACCATGACAGCCAGGGCTACACAGAGAAAAGCTATCTTGAAAACAACAATTATGCTGTTTCTCATAGGCAACAGATAGGTGGATTCTGTTTCCTATTGTCTCACAGTCAGTCTGGATTTTTGATGGGAGAATTGAGGCCATTCACATTTAAAGACATTACTGAAATGGATGTGTTAGCTGTAGTCACTGTGTTGTTGATTTTGCCATCAGCTGTGTCCTCCATGGGATTCTGTGTTCTAATAATGATGGCTTCGTATTTCTTTCCACAGTTTCTCTGCTATTCTCATTCTTCCCACATAGTATTTCCTGTGTTTTCCTTAAGTTTGGTTTGTTGGATATAATTTTTTACACTGCTTTGTCACAGAAAAGTTTATTTTTCCTTCACTCCTGGCAGATAATTTTCTGGATATACTATTTTAGACTGGCTGTCACAGTCTTGTAGGAACTGGAATGCATTGCTGCAGGCTCTTCAGGCTTTCTAAGTTTCCTTTGAGAAATCAGTTCTTACGCTGATGGAGTTTTCATTATATGTGACTTGTGTTTTTTCTCTTGAAGTTTTCAATACATTCTTTGTTATATATACTTAGTGTTTAAACTATAATATACTATGGAGATTTTCTTTTCAGTCCCATTTATTTGCTGTTCTGTGCACTTATTGTATCTGTATGGGTATGTCTTTCTGTTTATTTTGGGGAGAGGTTTCCTCTATGACCTTGTTAAAGATCTAGACTAGCCCACTGGTCTGGGATTTTTTTCTCCCTCATGTGTCTATAATTCAAAGGTTTGTGTCGTTTGGTTGTTTTTGGTGTCCCATTTCCTGTGTATTCCTTTCATGTGTTATGTGTTTTGTTTTGTCTTTTAATTTTTATGTTATTTGTTTATTTGCTCTTGATCCTTCAACTGAAGCCCATGGCAACTGGTTTAGATGAATGTGGAGAGCTGTGACATGTCCGTGCAGCTGCCTTGCCGACGAGTGATAGACAGGCACTCAGTCTGAGCAGGAGGACTACTTCCACTTACATTTGCTGGATTTCTTTTTAAAGGAGCAGGAGAAAGACATGTTATATTTACAAGCAGGTGGATGGAGCGTACTGACACGTCCAGCTCTGTTGGCAGTGGCCAATTCTGATCCATGAAAGTGGCTGGTGCTCTGGCCTCTTATATGGAGCCTTCAGCTCTGACCTTACATAACTGGACATTTCTATACACAGTCCAGTGCACCTGTCTCTCATTTATACAATAAAGAAGTGTAGGAAGGTTTCTTATTGTGGTAATGTCTAATGTTAGCAGAATCTCCTAGTTACTGGGTATAGAAACAGAAATCATCACAAAGAAAGTGAGTAGTCCAGTTAAGTCTGAAGCTATCCTAGTGGAACTGACCCAAAGTACCCAAAGAGGAGTGCAACACGTCCTTCCATCCATCCCCATCCTGTGTCCTCCAGCCATCTGCTTAATAATTAAAGAAATCACAATGCCCCATTTCTGTTTCCACTAACATACTAAAATGTTTGACATTTCTTAATTTGGCTGAGTAGCTTCACAGCCCCCACCCCCACCCCCACCCCAGCTCAACAACTTCTAAATTCTGTGATTCTTTAAGGCCCAGGAAACTACTAGTCTAAGGATAGATCATGTAATCCGAGTGTCTGATTTCCTACACAGAAATTAATGCAGCCATCTTGTGGCATTTTTCTTTATTTGTAAAACACAAAGCCCCACAAAAATATATGTTAAAGTGACTTTGTTAATCACGTAAACAGTATACATATTTAAAGTGATCTACTCTTAACACTACATATGTCCCAACTGTTTCATTAAAAAATACATAGTATAATGATAACAAAGAAAACACAATTTTAAGGGGCACTTAATACATTTACCAACATTTTATAGACATTAAACTGGTTCAAAACACGACCAGAAGGCAAAGATTTTAAGGCTAAAGCTTGGTTTTCATAAAACTGCTATCATGCAGCCTTACAAAAGACTTGCATGTTGACAGCACGGTGTCACCTTGCTCGCAGCTGAGCAGGAGAAAGTGAATGTCATTACAGCACCAGCCAGTCTTTTCATCTAAGTAAATAACTGTCCTGGAAAACTATAGACTACAACTGTATGGACTAGTTTAAGAGTCTAGAACTTTCTATCTATTTACAGGCCAGAAGAATCTTCCCAGCACATGGCACTTTCCAACCACACGTTTACTGTAGCTATTACTTTGTTGCGGATAACAATTCTGCTACATACCAATATTCCAGAATTTGAGGCCATCTCAAACACTCAGGGAAGCGCCAAGTTATCTGGTAATCCTGTTTTGTCTTTAATGAGTACAATTTTGAGTGATCATAAAAATCCCACATATGGTCACTCCAACAGTTGTGAACAATCTGTTCATTCCATGGCATTTCTACTCTGCACAGCATTAGAAAGGACTGGGAAAACACTCATCTTCCAAGACTGTCAGGCCAGGGTTGGAGGGAATGAATAAAAATATGTGCTCACATATGGTCTTGGTTATACTAAGATGTTCTGGTATATCGATAATTGATATCCATCTTTTTCTCTAGCTATAGGCTCTGAGCCTCTGAATACAATTGAGTCTGACCAGTCATTTCAGACACAATCTAACCACAGGCTCCCTTCAAGATACACTAAACAAGAAACGTGATATGACTTTCTTAAGTCAAAGTTTGTACTAATTTTCTAGCCATTTGCATAGTGCAGAATCTATTTTAATAGTAAAAGTGACCACACACATTTACTGTGATCTCACGAATTAGGGAAGCATTTGCCATCTATTGCCTTAGTTAAAAAGCAGAGTCAAGGACCAAAACGAAGTTGACAAAGGAGCTCGAGCACCTGCTCTCTGAACGCTGCCACCACCACCACCACCACAGTCTTATGTACCCACTACCCTCTGCACGCCGCCATCACCAACACCACAGTCTATGTACCCACTACTCTCTGCATGCCGCCATCACCACAGTCTTATGCAATGCAGAAACATTTGTTCTTTTGGCTGGAAGGAAAGAAAAGTTCCTCACTAAGCTGTAACCTTGAAGAGACTCAATCAGATCAGGAGTAAAGAGAGCTTCGATCATCCTATTTATTTCAGCATTGTGCTGCCGTGTTACTGTTCTGTAGTCACTGTGAGAGAAAGGTGAAGGACAGGGCTAGTCTGCTGTCAGTCACAAAGGCAACACCAGCTCTCGTTTTACAAGCACAATACAGTAAGAGTTAACATCTATAGGGTACACAAGTCAGGAGTACACAGATTAATATTATAGTAGTCTGCTTTTCTCCCACATGGATGTAAGAATTAGACCCTAACTACATGGAGCTATGTTACGGAGCAGAAATGAAAACACCAGTGCAAAAAAGATGGCACCTTCATCACTTCTAACATGTATGTTTGGTTGTTAGTGAACTCTGAGCTAGAAGGCACACATTTGTGCCATATACTCTCCAATTATCTTATATATTCAGATTAGTCATCAATAATTGGTTTTCTTAAACAAATGCTCCTGGATACAGTGACAGAAAAGGAGCTGGCATCCAATGTATCATTTACATGCAATGCTTTAAGGTAAAATGTAAGTGATACCAGTTTCTTTTTGATTTACAGTTGTTCTCTTCAGACCCACCAAAAGAGGGCGCTGGATCTGATTGCAGATGGTTGTGAGTCACCATGTGGTCACTGGGAATTGAACTGAGGACCTCTGGAAGAGCAGTCCATGCTCTTAACTGCTGAGCCATCTCTCCAGCCCCCAACATCAGTTTCTTTAGTGCATTGTTTTATAAGTATTAGCAATGAAATGTAAAGCGCATGCTTCATTTTAAAATGAGGATTCCATTTCAGAAAAGGTAAGTAGGTAGTTTTCTAAAACTGGCTTTTTGCTTTATCAAATACTTAGTAGTTATGGAACTGCTTTTAGTCGACTACATTTGGCAATATCAGAAGTCCAGGCTATAAACAAATGAAAAACAGCTATAAACCTAGCCACTCACTTGAGCTTGGCTGATCCATAACCCATGAATTTAAGAAGTCCTGCTTCAAGACAAACAATGAACTAAACGGAGTGCGACAGGTCTGTGATTCCTCCTAATCAATGGCTAATGCAGGCAGACCACAAGTTCAAGGACTCCCCAAGCTATATACTGAGATCCTAGGATACAGATCCATGTTGTAGAGCCCTCCTAGAAATGGGAGGAAAGCCAATGGTGGCAATCACGCCATCATGGTCCATCAGGAGAGTGGGGCTATGAGACTTACCTTGGTTAGGTGAATGACTCCTTTGGAAGTGACTGAACAACCCATGAAGCCAACACACTGAAGTTCAGGGCAGTGCTCAGCAAACGCCTTCACTGACTGATCTGTCACCTAGGGAAAACCAGGAGGAAAGTTACTGGAGGTGGACTCAGTGAACTGTGATTTGACACTTGCAAACGTCTGCTCCACAGGAGATCATTGGCCTTTTCCTTTCTAGTGGGTCATCTGAATCAGCACCAACATGCTACAGTTAGCACCCGGGCAACCAAGAATGAATTCCCTGCCTCAGCCTCTAGACCCCATGCTGTCATCGTTCCTTACAGATCCAAAAAGACATACTACCAAAAGCTACTCCAGTTCTTGTCCTCTGTCCCCGCCTCTCTCTCTTCTTCATGTTTTTACTGACACTATTACATGCTATAAAATTCACCCTTTAAGGGTTCAGCTTAGTGATTAGAAATATATTTATAAAGCTGGACATGATCATTAATATGAAATTCTACATATTCATTCCTATTGTCCTCTCTTTAGTCTTCAGCTGGGAACCCATCTCGCCTGCTTTTACATTCAGACTTTCACCATCCGGTATGCTCTCCTGGGTCCCCGAGTTGCCAACTACACATCTTGAAACTTCTCAGTCTCTGAATCATATAAGTCAACTCCCTATAAAAAATTCTTGATAGAAAAAAAAGGAAAATCTCCTAAGAGTTTTATCTCGTTAGAGAAACCCAATGCAATGCATACTGACATCATCTGAGATTATTACAAACCAAAGAGTAAATGTGATGGGGCCCTAGGATCTATACTTTCGATAAGCCCCCAGTAACTCTCAAGTCATTCAAACGTCAGAGGCCCCAGCAATACAAATAACTGAAGGTATTGGTTTTAGATACTTCTAACTAGCTTTGCTTTAAAAATGAAAGGCAGAATGGACCTCCATTTCTGTGTCAATCATCTCCAAAACATTCTCTGCATATATAAGTTACCTGTCTGTAATTGTGCGAAGGTTTTCTTTATGGCTGTGGTGGTTTCAATAGGCATGGCCCCCACAGGCTCACCTATTTGAATGCTTAACCCATAGGGAGTAACACTATTATGAGATGTGGCCTTGTTGGGTGGGTGTGGCTTTGTAAGAGGAAGTGTTTCACTAGGGGTGGGCTTTGATGCTCAAGCCATGTCCAGTGTGGCATTCTCTTCCTGCTTCCTGTTGATCCAGATATAAAACTCTCAGCTACCTCTCCAGCCCTCTCTCTGTCTGCATGCTGCCATGCTTCCTGCCATGATGGTAACAGACTAAACCTCTGAAACTGTAAGCCAGCCCCAGTTAAAGTTTGCCTTTATAAGAGTTGCCTTCGTCATGGAGTCTCTTCACAACAATGGAAGTCCTAAGTCAATGATTTCACAAAAGTTCAACTTAAATGCAAACACATGTTAGTTACCATATGATTGCTTTTGGAATTATTTCTTCATCCAAAATAAAATCAAACCCTTTTGTTAGATTACAAACAGCAATGACACCCATTGTTTTTGCATTTGTTTAGTATGTGTGACTTTTATTTGTATCTTCTTTATGCTTTACAGACAGTGGGAAACAGAAGTACGTGAATAGCATTAACTCTAAAACAATCACAGGAACATTTCCCTAAAGTAATGAAACCCAATGCACCGATGGTAGGTCTGATAAAAGATTAATTCTGCCTTCAAAAGTAAAGTATGCTTAAGCATATTAAGAATAAGGGTACCACTGATAAAATAAAAATGGACCTGTCTTATACTCAGCTTTCTAAATACATTATATTAACATGGGCCACATAAGGCATGAAAATCGCTGAAAGCATCAATGAAGCATAATCTTTAATTAAAAGCCAAAACTAAAGGTTACAGAGGTTAAGTACATGGTCAGTAAGTTAAATACCCAGCTCAGTTTCAGACTAGGATCAAATCTTTTTTCAAGAAGGGTGGAAAGGAAGAGAAACTCAGATGACAAATAAAGAACACAGGAGAACACAGGTAACAGGACCTGAGCTTGTAGAGAAAAGGAAATAAATTCAAATTTCTGCTAGTAGGCCTTTCTCTTTTACCTTGGGGGCGAAAGGAAGAAAGACAGCTGAGACTATTCCCTACCATCAACAGAGCCTGGGAGAGTGATGACGCTCTGAGGCACAGAAACACTCTGATGGGTACAGCTTTGTTTTGGAAAACTAATAAAAGGACCTTGGAATGGCAAAGGGTGTCAGATCTGAAACAGTGCTCCTATATACAGGAGTCCAGAGAGTGGCTTGTGACACAAGTGCTGGCAAACCCAAGTATAGATTACAGAAGACAAGTACAGGTGGCTCACATCTTCTCCAGGACCCTAGAGTCCGAGTACCTAGCTCTAAATCCCTCATAGATGCCCCATCCCTCTACGCACATACACAAAAAGATGATTTTTGGAAAAGTCATTTCTCTGTATTCTGTCTTTCTATAACAAAAGAAAACAAAGTTGCCTACTTCACAGAATAAAACATGAGAGAGTAAATAACCACAAGAAATCCTAATTTCTCAAGAGATGTTAACTAGTACCACTATCCTGATTAGTTTTTCTGTATTCTGATTCACAATCAGAACTAAGGAGTCAACAGGTGAAAGAAAATAATTCAAATCCAGCAGATCCAAAACACTCTCCTTTATTCTTCTACCTGCTCTGAGATCTCCATCACAACCTGGAAGTGCAGCTGTGAGGGGGTGGTGATGGTGGTGGGGTGGTAACATGTGGTGGTGGTGACAACAATGGTGGTGGTTGATAGTGGTAGTGGTGGTGATAATGGTGGTGGTATGGTGGTGGTGATGGTGATGATGGTGATGGAGACAGAGAGGAGAAACTCCTGCTTTAACTCTGCAACACATCAGAACCACAGACGAATCCTGGCTATCTCTGGAAAGACCAAAGAGCCTCCGAGATTCAGGTACTCGTGTTCTGGTGAATAGGGTTTATGGACCTTCAAAGTCTAGTTTTAGTGTATCATTTTCATCTTAAAATTTGTTCAGACTTCAGAACCTAGGTTCACTAACTGCATATTGAATCCTACTATGGGCTTAATCCAATCTTCAGATGACTGTCAGAATTTACAGCTTCAGAGAAACTGTCCAGGGGAGGTTATCTTTGGGACTTAGAAGACCAAAAACTGAATGGCTATTTCCTAACCCAGGTACTATGGTGGCTTTGGGAAATAACTTATCAAGGTACAATCTGCCACATTTTAAAGTATAGCTTTAAATTTCTGGCATGAAAACACTGTAAAACTTTACTTTTTTCACTGCATAATTCCAAAATATATCTTCTTAGATGAATAAATACACTTTGTTTTAAAAAATGCAACAGTATAGCTGAGTACAACTCACATGACTTTATGAAGATAATACTAATACATAACCAACTTCCTTTACCCTTTTGCTCCTGTACGCAATCAACCACTGTCTCATGTCAAAGCTCTGGCAAGAATTGCCAACATGGTTTCTGTCTTTATACCTCTGCCTTTTCTAGAAACCTTATAACTACAATTCCAACATAAGTAGCCCTTTGGGTGATTCTTTCTCTAGTAAAATGTTTTTGATATTTACCCATATATGTGTATGCATACATATATAATACACATAGTATTTTAGTAGAACTGTTATTGCTATATAGAATTCTACTATTCAGTATATTTGACTAGTTTAAAAAATAGAATATATATAATATACATGTGTATTTCAGTAGAATAAAAAACTAAATAAAAAAACTGCTATATAGAATTGCACTATATACATTACAGTTGACCAGTTGTAAATATTTGAAATCTTTCTAATCTAGGATTTTGAAAGATGTTGCTCCTCATATACGAGTATTTATATGGAATTATATTTTTATTTATTTCAAGTAAATATCTACAAGTAGAACTTTGTCATTTAATGAATTACTAAACTGAAAGAGATTTTACACTCGCTACCAAATCATTTCTAAGCTATGGTCCTGTCTTCTCATTTTCTTAATTTTTAAGTTTTAAAAAACAAATAGATATGGGTTTTTACTGAATAAAGCACACAGGAAATGAAAGTGTCACTGTGTGGCTTTTTTATTGTTCTTTTAGTTGATATTTATGCCTGGTATGCAGTAAGGATGAGTATTCACTTTCAATATGAGCATATTCAGTTGTCTGAGCATCCTTTGTTGAAGTCACTGGAGTCACTGAGGAAGTTTCAGCATATGATGTATATACTTGGAGAACACAGACTAGGGAACAACAAGGTGGAGAGTGAGAATCAGTGTACAGAAACACAACTGGACTATGGAAGAGTGAAATCAGTTTGCAAATCAGATGCTGAGGTTTGAGTCAACATGCCTGCGAATACAGAGGGAAGATGCCAGACTAGGCATGATCCACATGACTTAGGTAGGACTCGATTGCCCGAACAGATACAACCACATGCTGAGACACTGGCAGAGCTTCAGGCCAGAACCCTGAGGAGCACTGTCTCACTGCCAACCTTGAAACCAGAAGCACATGGTTAAAGGGGGCAAAGACAGTGCTGCTTCTCATCAGCTCTTAATGGGTCCACTTAATCAGAAATCCTTCTGGGGACAGTGCCTTGTGGGCTCGGGACTGAACCTGGGGAATGGAGGTGGGGAGTGCAATAAGAAGGCAATAAATAATGAGTGAGGCAGCTGAAACAGGCCGTGTGTCAGAAACAGCCTCATATGACTAACCCTGCCCAGGCTGGAAGACAGATAAAGGCATGCGGCACAGGATCACTCAGTCTGCCAGTGTGAGCTTAGACTGTGGATGGCTTCTAAACTTAGAGACTCCATTTCTAGTCACAGCTCACACTCAGCTGAGGTTTGGGATGCTCAGCGCCAATGAGTTAAAGATACAGTAGACTAAGCAGCCGCATTTACTGGTCTTACTGTGTGCCAAGCCAAGTTTCCTTTCCACATCATCTGGGATCCTGATAAGAGCCTTCTGTGGCTCAGTTGCTCCTCTGTCAGAAGGCAATGCAGTAAGTGGACTCTGAGTAAGGCACTTTTATCTGAAAAGGCTTAGAACTGTAAAGGGAGAAAAAGTAGGACAAGAGGGGCTTTTAAATAAATG